CTCTTTCCTTTCGGCCGGGGTTGTAACTTGGTTGATGCCAGTGTCAGGGTCTGCTGCCCTGATCCATTAGGCGTGACCGGAATGTGGCGCGAGAGTGGGAGGTCAACACCCAACTCTCCTGAAGTTTTTGATCGCAAAATTGAAGAAGCGTCATCTTCCTCTTCCATCTGTCGTAGCATCGGGGGATCCCTGGAGCCCACCGCTGCAGGAAACTGGACTAACTGGCACACCGCCGTCAACGTCCTGGAACTGAACTGAACAGGTTGAAGTCCTGAAATCTTGAAGTATTGCACGGATGCGAAGCTATACCCAATGGTTCAAGATCTTCTGGTCCTGCGTCCCGGCTAGCCTGGTACGTTCAAGGCTCCACTGCGTCGGACGTTGGATATTTAGAGTAAATCCGACGATCGTTCGTACAAGGTTACCTGAAATGGGATCCGAGTAGGGGAGGGGGTGCAGTACCCACATGCAGTGCAATACATTGGAGAGTTCAGAAGAATTACGGGGCATGATTATAAACCATGGGACGGGGATATGTTTACTGTTTAACGATTAAACCAAGAAAAAGGTTTGAAATCGGATTTTGAGGAAGTTATTTCAAAAAAGAACCCCCTGTGCGTGTGAAAGAGCACTGTGAGACTAGTGTAAGGACACACGGTTTGAAGAGTTTCATCCTATGCCCACGAAGATTACCCATACTAATGTGAACGAAGAAGTCATCGACCCTGCAGAGCTGGGAGATTGTACAGTAGGAAGATGTACCCATTATCCAGCAGGTTTCGAGGGAGTACAGATTCAAGATGGAAAGGCGTGTGGAGTAAAGGGTGGAGGACAAGCCATGCAAAAGTTTTGTCGTTCTCCTTTGTGCACGCTCCATGGCCGTACAGTGGCTCACCAAGCGGGAGTGAGCAATTTGACTCCCGTATTCTAATAAGGGCAGAATGTACGTGATACAGAGAATCTGAAAGTAGTCCCCATCCATTCCTGAGAATCAGCGTTTTAAGAAGCTTAGGACACGGAAGGCGGATCTATTGGCTTTTTTCAGTGTTAAGAGAATTTATTGACTCGATGGTTGCTGATGTTCGTCAGAAGCTGTCACTACAAGAACGAGAATGACCTGGTCAGCCTGAAACCAAGAACCTTGTGATGTTCTACACTCTTCATGATCGAGATAGCGCTAACCCTGAAATTGTGTACAGGGGCCCTCCCAAACGAAATACTAATGAATTTTTTGTCCTTAATTGCAAGTTTCCAGACCATAGACCAGTTTTTGACTGCATCCATTGCTGACTGAACAGTCACAGGGTCCGTGTCCCAAATTATCACATCGTCGGCGTACATTGCGACGTTTACTCCGACCCTGTGCGGCAGGTCATTTATAGATATAAGGAAGAGGAGGGGGCCAAGGATGGAACCTTGCAACACTCACGTAGTAACAGAGGCGGATGAGAGCGATTAACATAGGCGGTGTGTATCGGGAGAAAGTCGCCAAGTAGGGACAGGAGTCTGCCAGTGAGGTCGTATGACTCGGGTTTATAGAGTAAGGAAGCGCGGAGGATCCGATGAAACGCTAATGCAAAGTCAATCAAAATTTCATGGGAAATCAAGCCGCAATCACTGGCTTGCGTTAGACGGCTCATGACAGATAGCATTTGCAGATGCAACATCCATACTTTTATTGAATACACAAAGGCATTTTCTCAGGTAGAATTAGGCGGCTGACGAAAGAGCTACTTGGTAATCCGAATAGTATTGAATATCGGGATATGAGAACCCGCAATGTAATGCTCAGAACTAGATTGGCTCCAACCCGAAGTGCGGACATCAATGAAATACACGAGGAATCGATAGCAGAAAATTCTTGTTTATTGATAGAATTAGAGCATGCTTCATAGAAGGTAGGCCATATTACTGGTTCAAGGACCGGGGTCCAATCACATAACCACTTGCGCAGACGCATCACATATACTAACACGGATGTGATGTTCAACCGATGTTCCATTGGCCGAGCTTCCTAAACGGTGATTGGATGACATGAAGCTGTAACTGGTCGTGTCTGAATTGCGGTCCTGTAAGTCTAGATCACCACTATTCTCTTCCCTCAAGAGTACTTCGTCAATCTGGCTCGGTTGACGGCTGGACCTGCGAACTTGCGGAATCGTTGGCTCCGACTGTTCATGGTGGTGCCTTTATGTTTCGATTAGTTGAGTCTGCGCATCTGACTGGTTTGGCTCCATCGAGTGTTCTGACGGCGTCTGTAAATGATGGTATCGCTCGCTTGTTTCTTGATGCCGATGGTCTGTCGATGATTTCAAGCGGAGTTGGTGTAATGATTGTAGAAGTAGTAGAAGTAATAGGCACGGAATTCGGAACACCAACCACGCAATAGGAATCACAGGACCCGAATCGATAATCGGCTATCACGGACGGGATCGCAAAAGCAATGTCCCACGAGAACGAGACGCGAGGAAAAGGCCAGAGGACAGGCAGCAAGTAGTTCGTGTATTGGAAGAAATGAAGGTGATTAAATAATATGTACAAAAGAAGATTATTGGCTACCAGGGCTTCCACCAATTGGATTGCAGCACTGCTTGCATAATCTTCCTTCTGTCTGCATTGTCTTGGATTGGCTGGCACCACCCGCCAATGACGTGTATTCAGAAGCTATGCACGTGCTATTGACGTCAACATTCAAACTTGATCGATCGCCAATGTCCTGAAACTGTGACGTGCCGCTCCAGGGTAGGCGCCATCGTGTAGTCCTGGAGAGTCACATTTGGTCCACGTGTCGCTTGTGCACACTGACATCATTCACGTCGGTAATTCCTACCATTGCTTGGCCCAGCTGTCATGTGGTTATACCACTGGCAGGTCGCGAATTATTACCACGGAAGTATATGAGATCACTGTAGTCGAGGTACTGTAAGGGGGATCGCAAGCGTCTGGATTTAAAAAGCATTGCCGGGCTCTCCTTGGTGGTTGTTTGTGTTGCGTTTGGGTATTGGAGTAGAGTGTTATCCACCATCGTTTCCTATTCAGGTAGCGTTTTAGTATTGGTAGACGCGATTACACTCTTACTTGTTTGATTAAATTCTCTGTCACTCCGTTCGAACAGGGGTGACGTAGCGTAATTCGAAGGTATCAGCAACCAATTCTGTTCATCCAAAGCTTCATTTCGGTCGCACAGAATTGATATTCATTGTCCGTCGCAAGCTCTTGTGGAATCCCTTCGCAACTGAAACATTTCCGTAGTACTTATATCACAAATAACGTGGTAGGTGTAGTCGTGAAAGATACCTCTGACCAGGCGATCAAAACAAGGGCGTAACATCGGTTCAGAAATAGACCACAGAGACCAATTTGAACCCTTTGCCATGGTATGTAACTTTCCGTCCATGGTGTCCAGTTTTTCTGCCTTGTTCATAGTTTATGCAAACATGACTCACCGTTCTTGTATGCTGCGTAGATGTATGTTTTCAACTCCAACCACCAACACATCTGTTCTCCACTCTTATATGTCCTTTGTGCAATTCAGTTAGTATCGTCTTCCGTAGTTGAGGTGGGATTGCCAAACTATCGTCGCGACACAGTACACCATCCAATTGCACTGACAATTCCTCTCAGTGAGCAAAGAATTGGGGAAATTTTCTCTCTACCTCTGGTGATCACCCTTTCCTGATTGCTGAGAGTATTGCTGAGTAGTACTGTTTGGCAGATTTGCGTAAAGATTCCCGAGACACTAGCGAAGCTGGAGGTGATGAAAGGACACTGTTTGGTCTCTGAAAATCGTGAGTAATAAGAGAGAAGAAATCAGCCTGCGGGATTGTCTTTCCTGGACGATGTTGGATGTCGTAGTTGTACACGGCTACGGGCATGATCCGTCTCTGTAGCATAGCAGCAGTGAACTCCGCGGTGGATTTGTTGGGGTTGAATAAGAACTGTAG